ACACTGTGCAAAATTCCCAAGAAAGAGTGATTTTGGCCAGGTGGTGGTAGCGTATACCTTTAATCCCAGAACTCCGGAGGCAGAGGTAGGCAAATCTCTGTAAATTCCAAGACCAGCCTGGTCTATAAGAGTTAGTTCTAGGACAGGCTCAAAAGATACATTGAGACACCCTGTCTCAAAAAACAAAACCAAACACAAACAAAAAGGGGAAAAAAGAGTGATTTTGGACAAAATTATTTACTCAGGGAAATGTCATACTTCTTTTATTCCAAATTAGAGTGGCTTGCAAGCCAGCTCCCACTTTTCTATCTCTAGACCTCCATATTCGTTCCTGTCAGCAGGGTCACCTTTATCCTGTCTAGGTGCCATCTCTGTTATTATGCACTCAGTGCATTTTCTTTAAGTTGATTCAGCCTTGAAATATTAGCATACTTCTCTAAAAAGGGAAACTCATTTCCCTGTTGGCAAAAAGACACCAGCAGCAGTAGTCATGAAGAAGAGTAATTGCAGGGAGTCTGAGCAGAGTAAATGCCAACTGTTCTTGTCTGCTGTAGGAGGCTCTGAGCCTCAGGCCTGAGGAGTGCCAAAGGCCTTTTAGTACCAAATTAAAATGACCTCCTTGTTCTGATCAGTGGAGTGGGTCGGTGAAGAAGTGGAAACAAGAAATTGCTTCCTATTTGATTTGATGTCATCCAATGCTATGCTTAGGTAATACCTAAAGATCTCTTGTTATTCCTGGAGATAAGATCTGAAAAATATCACCCACAGCCTACAGCTCTGTCCCAAAGATGAACAAATCCAGCCAGGGTCCTGGAATCACAGACTGTCCCTTCTCTGTGTGTCTTCCTGAGGGGACTAGCTTACATAAGGATCCAGTTCCTTCTGCTTCTACAGGAAAAATGGGATGCAAATGGAAATATGATTTCTAGTGAGTCTAGCTCACAGCAGCTTTTGAGCATATACTGTTGGCTCACTATCTTAAAAACCCAGAAGAGTAGAAAACAGCTGAGTGGATATGTGGAGAAACTAAAGAGTGAGGAGGAATCATAACTCAGCTGTGAGTATGAAAGACGGCCGCACCGCATTTGTAACTGTAGGGTTACAAAATACTTTCATTTGCTATGAAATAAATTTAGCTCATGGACACAGAACACTTAGATTATGTAACTGATTCAGTATGACCTTGCTGAGATGTTGAAAGTTGCCCCCGTTACAAGGGAATAGAAACAATTCCTAAAACAAGTGGGCGAGAGCACAAATTCTCGATTACCATGGCTGAGGAATATAGACCAGGGTTTCCAATGACTATTCAATGGTATCAGTTCAAATAAATTTTGAGCGTGCTTTAACTTTAAAAACCGTTACAATGAAGAGTTCACCAGGAGATGTAATGTCTCCCAAAGCTACTCGCCTATGCTATTACAGTCCCTGCCTCTGTTCTTGAGTATGCTGTACAGAGACCACATTTCTGGGTAAACTGAGTTATGCAATAGCCTCCTGAATTTGTAACTGCACTTGAAAAAAAAAAGACCAAAGACAAATTCCTTGTGGATGTGTGACAACCAAGATGGACTGTGTAGCTACTGGCTGATATTTGGTAGTAGGGAAGGTACAACCTATGAGTAACAAAATGGGCTTGAATAAGATTTTGGTTTGGGAACATGTAAATGGGAGCATGGGCAACAGCTGGTTGGAAGAAAACTTGATTCAGAAGCTTCAGCAATAAAAGGGCTGCCCTAGGGGGTTACTAGGTAATGAAAGACACCCTTTAGGATAACTAAAATCAAATGCCAGAATTAACACAGAGATCAGCAGTCAGGATAATTGCAAAGAGAAGAAGAAGAAATAAAAGCCCCAAAGGAAAGAAATGATGGAGAAGATCCCAAGTAAGTCCAAATGAAAGAGGTAGGATGGATGCAGAACTGTACAAACAAGGCCATTTATCTTTCCAGGTTAAAGCAGACAGAAGCAGAGGAAATCTGTCCACCCTGAACTAAGACAAAAAAGAAGATAAGACCTCCAGGGAAAGAATTATGCATTTGGAAGAGGGCAAGTGCAGGGTGAAAGAAGACTGTATCACAGGGACAAAGAAAGGGACAGGAAGAGACAGACATCAGAATCAGAATCCATGTCTTTAGCTTTGTAGACAGGCTAACTCTCACCACACCCCTTCCTTTCTCATGGAAGACATTACAAGTTGATCGTGACATAGTCTCTTCCTCCTGGATGCAGACTTATCATTAGATCCTCAACACAGCACACTAGGTAATGCCTAGTAATTTGATGGACTTGAGCTTGATTTTGAAGCATGCATTCTATATGTATTAAACAAACCAGTAAACCCTCTGTGAGGGTTCTGTAATATTCTCTGATGAATGGGGATTCAGAAGAGCATTGTTTGCTACAAAAGCACATTTTAATGTGAATAGTTTAAGTGCATGGATGCTATAACCTCCACAGATGTGAGCAGATGAGCTATTTCAGGTGTACCTAACATTAACAAGCATTTTATACTAATTTCTATCAAGAAACTCTGTTTTAAATATTCACAAGGGCATAAAAATCCATTCACCATTTACCTTGGAAACTGACACCCTTTCACCTATGAAAGTCATGTGTTACCTTTGAAACAAAATATTCCCTATGAAACAACAAATGGGAAAGCAGAGCCCCCTTGAGAATTCTCCTGTAACACCATGCTGAGTCCCTCCTTTAAACAGTTTGGCAGAAATATTACAAAGTCCCTAGCCACTCTCCACTCTTCCAACCATGTAACGCACTCTGAAAAAGCTCCTCTAAACAGCAAAGCACAACAGCACTGATAAAGATAGGGTCACTTGAAACATTGGGCTTTCAGCACTGGCAGTAAAAAGAAACAGCAGGCATTGTCAGGTGGAACAAGGACTAAAAGGGAGAGTGGGGATGGCATGTGACAAGTCACATTAGCCTCCATTTTCGCCTGAACGTTCACTAGTCCCTCACCCCAACACACACTTCTGGGCATCTGAGGCATTGCCTATTCATACAAAGAACACTTGGCGGCACACGATACCCTCAGCCCTTCTCCAGCCTGAGAAACACTCAGTGCTTCCTTTGAACTATTTTGTTTGAACATCCTGGTGAGCTATTCATGTTCTGCCAAACAGCTCTTAATGCTCTGGGGAGGAGTTTGGGGATGGTTATTTTCTGATGACTCTCGTGGATTAATTCCAGCCATGAAGATGAAGATGCTCATTCATCTACAAAGGCATTCTGGAGATTGGGAAAGGAAGGATGGGAATGGTGGTGGTGAGGGAAGGGAGCAGTGATCTCTGTGAGGCCTGGGACATCTCTTCACCCAAACAGATAAATCATCACTGCTGTCAATCATTGCCACAGTATCCTAACTCACGGACTGCCTCACTCCGGGCCCTTCAACTGCAGGAGCACATCTCTAGTGTCTTTCCCATTACCACCCGTTCTCTTGATGAGTTTAGGGAACTCCTTGTTCCACAAACTCCAGCCCCAATGGAGCCTTCTTTTTTCTCTCTCCATTTTTATTTGAATTAGAAACAAGATTGTTTTACATGTCAATCTCATTTTCCCCTCTATCCTCTCCTCCTCAGCCACCCTCCCAACTATCACCCTACTTATGCCATACCCTTTCTGCTCTCCAGGGAGGGTGAGGCTTTCCATAGGGGGTCTTGAGAGTCTATCGTCTCCTTTGGGATAGGGCCTAGGCCCTCCCCTGTGTGTCTAGGCCCAGGGAGTGTCCCTCTATGTGGAATGGGCTCCCAAAATCCACACCTATGCTAGGGATGTGTACTGATCTACTACAAGAGGCCCCATAGATTTCTGCGGTTGCCTCACTGTCCAATGGAGCCTTCTATGCATTCCTCTTTACCACAGGGCCATTGCTAACCAAGCACCATTCATAAGCTCTTCATTCTCTGAGCATTTTATAATATTGAAGCAGATGTCTCATGCACTGAAAAAAGAGCCTATTTAAAAGCTGATTCAGGTCCCACATCTTCTCAAGCCACCTTTTTCTCTACTTATAACTATATTTGTCCCTAAGTACCCATGGGGTATTGGGTCTGACCTCACCCTTCATGTATAACCATTGATGCTAGAGTCTCATATCAAATCACAGAGTACCTTCAAGTAGCCTATGTACATCCCTCTATAGGCGCTGGGTCACAGGTGCCTAATATGAAGCACTGTGGAAACAGTTGCACTGCAGTGTTTAGAGACTGATAGCAATTCTATAAACAATCTGTGCCCAGACAATATTCCTTTCTATTTTCTCTGGTTTTTCTTGTTTTTATACGACAGGGTTTCTCTGTGTGGCCCTGACTGTCCTGGAACTTGGATTAAAGACATGTGGCACCATGCCTAGCATCATCATCATCATCATCATCATTATTTGTCAATAAATTTCAGTCCACAGTTGATTGAAGCTAAAGATGTAGAAACCACAGATAAGGTAAGCAGACTGTATTTCTAAATACACATTTGTGATATCCCTACTAAACTGTGAGCACTGTTTGGTCCACCGCAGCCATTTTCCTTTCCACTGTGCAGCAATACCTTGCACACACCCAGTGTGATATGTGACTAAAGGCTTCAAAAATGGGACTGTTTCTTCAACTCTCCTTTTTAACTTTGAAGCAACCAGGATCCTTGTCATAGCTGCCAAATAAAAATGGTGTCAAGGCTGCAGATGTGTTTGACTCCCAGTACTTCATAAACCAGGCATGGTGGCATAATCCTGCAACCCAGCCCTTGGGAAGCAAAACGAAAATGATCATAAGCCCAAGGTCATCCGAGGCTATATAGTGACTTTGAGGCCAGCCTGAGCTACATGAGACTGTGTTTAAAAAATGGTGCCAAGTCGCCTTGTTTGTTAGAGAAGGTGTGATTCCTCTAGACTCCTCTGGGAAAACAGGCCTTCCTTTTGGAGTTGGTGCAAATAAAACCTGCCAATAACCTCTGAGATGAGCCATTGAGAAAGTACTCACGTTGGTTTAGAAGCCTCGGCTTGATCAGTCTGTAGTTTTTCTCCACCCTCTACCTCCATTGTGCAATATACAATGCGATTTGGAGCCAAGGATTTCAGGCCTTGAACTTCCATGATCACTACCTGAAAACAGAATCACATAAGATGGATTCAGTACCAAAGCCAGAGGCAGCAGCATCCATGGGAAGGAAAAAGCAGGAAGCTACAGTGAAAGTCAACAGGGAGGCCATGGCTTCTGCTGGGCTTTACCAGTCACCCAAGGGCCTTCTAGGGAGAGTGTGTAACTGCTTACAATGTAGCCGCCTATTACCTTCCTGATGGAGCAATGTGACTCATTCCGCCACTCTGCTGTAGTGTGAAGGAAGTGAGGAGCCTTGCACAGGTGAAATAAGCATTACAGCTGAGCTAGACCCTTAGTCCTTTTTCCCTTCAGTCCTCTTTCTCACCCCTCCTTCCTTCTTTTTTTCTAGACAGCGTTTCTTTGTGTAGCTTTGGAACTTGTCCTGGAACTCACTCTGTAGACCAGGCTGGGCTTGAACTCACAAAAATGCTCCTGCCTCTGCCTCACGAATACTGGGATTAAAGGCGTGCACCACCACTGTCCAGCCTCCCTCCTTCCTTCTTTCTTCTGCTCCTTTCCTTTTTTATCCATCTGTCTCTCAACTTCTCCTTGTGTCTGTTTCTCTCTTCTCACCTCTTTCCCTTTTCCTGTCTCTCCCTCCTTATTTTATTTCCTACTCTCTTTCTTGACAGGGTCTCTATTTAGGCTGATCTTACACTTGCTGTGTAGCCCAGGCCTTGAACTTGGCTCCTCTGTTGCAACAGCTAACATTATAGGTCTGGCTCAGCGATTGCCCTACCGGGCTCAGCAAGATTTGCTAATTCAGATGCTCTCAGGGTCAGACAGATAAGGTGAACCAGGCTACTCTTTTCATGTTGAGCAAATAGGAAGGAAAAGGCTTCGTTCTGTTTTCTTTAAAAATATGCTATCTTTTTAGGTCAGCACCTGATAGAAACTCAGTGTGTGTATTAGCTTTTCTCTTGATAGCAAGATAAGCAATAGTGAAGAACTAAGGATCAGCTGGTGTCACCACCTCGTTTTAGTGCCACAGCTGGGGCGAAGCAGTGGAGACAATGGCAACCTGGAGAGCACAGGCTCGATCCACAGCAGGCACTGCCACTTGTCTGTCCCCAGTTCAGTGACCAGATACTCTGCTTTGTCCTGCTAGAAAAGAGAACGTTCCATGAGAATTATGATCAGAAATTTGAGTTTGAAATGTCTGAATCTGAATAGACAGGAATAAAATGTGCCAACTCTATGTATACTACTTTCATAGTTATTTATGATCTTTGCACACCAAGGCTGTTGAACCCAAACCCCATCATGTGTGCAGCTATATTGACTCTGGTTTAGCCTAAACTCACTGACAACTTCTGGGATTTCTTATCCCCACAGTCAGTCACCTGCTATTCTGATAGTAATGTGATGGTATACTCTGACATGGCAGCGAGGGAAAGAGAGAACAATCAGAAAAAATGTATCTGTCTTAGTGACCTACAGTGAGAAGCATCCAGGGAAAACCATCCTTTCTAAGAAAGGGGGGAATGGCATTACAAAGGAGAGAGAAGTGGGTATAAGAAAAAGTCATGCTTCTGGGGGATTTTGTTCATGTGATAGCCCACTGATTCTCAAGCAGAATGAATCTGGATCACTGATTGAGCCTATAAAGCAGAGGTCCCTGGTTACCCCTCCTGAGCATCTGGCTTTAACCCAGGCCTCCTCCTTTTATATGGTTTTCTTCCTGCTGGGTCAGAGGCCACACTAACTTCAAGAGCCCTGTGCAGCTTCTGGGATGTTGGGAAACCATCTCCCATATAAGTCCCTTTTGGTTTTGTCTTTTCAAATCTGCAAGGGCTTAGCTTTCTTTTTCTTTTATTCTTTCTTTCCTTTTTTCTTGAGAGTGTGTGTAGAGTTCACGTGGAAGTCAGAGGACCACCTCAGGTGTCTGGCCTTGCCTTCCACCTTATTTTACACAAGGTGCTTTGTTCACTGTAATGCCAGCTCTGAGGAGTCTCCTGTCTGCGGTAAGAGTGACGGATACAGATGCTCACTACAGCTTCCAGACTTAGGTGGATTCTACAGATCAGAATCTGGTCCTCATACTTGTGTACAAGTACTTTTCCCACTGAGCCATTTCCTTGGGCCCACCTCAGTGATATTACCTGTGAAGTAGGGATATGGCACATATGTGTTACCGCATGCTATATACTGGGGAAGAACCAGGTCAATAAAAGAATGTGGAATACAGGTGGAAAGAGAACAATTTAGAATCTGAAAGATCTCACTTTACATTGGATTCTGGGCCTACATTAGCTGTGTCATTTGCAAGTATCAGGCTTTTTTGCACATCTGCAAACACCTCAAAAGCCCTTTGTAAAAAGTGTTCACACAGCAGCCTTCTGCAAATACCTGTTGCTGTAGTACTCCCTCACCCCTCGCCCACATTCACAGCACAGCATGCTGGGCCTCTTTTCTTCTGCAAACTGAGCCTGTGTCTTCCGGGCATTCAGTTCTCTAATTACTTGGAACATGTCTTGCACCAATCTGCAAATTCAAACTGTAGCCTGCCCTGCTGCTATGACAGTCCTGTCTCTACCTGCTCTTATTGCCTCCACTCCCTGTACTCCCCAAACACATCCATGAATAGATGTGCAAAGGCTTTGGCTGGCAGTTTTACTATGGCGTGCCATTTAGTTTTCCAATTAAAAAGTGTGTGGGGACCCAAGGGCATTGAAATCTGCGCTCGAGTTTAGAAGGCAAAGGCATTTGAGTCCTGTCTACATAGAGTACTGCCGAGGTCTTGCCTACACCTATATTCCAGATAATCAGCTGTTTAATATTGAGAACTAATAATGAATTAGAAAATTACATACTTAAAACTTCATGAAAGTCAATAAAATACTTTTTTTCTTCTTTCATCTGCTGGAAGACAAGAGGGAATAGGGAATAAATTGCCACCTTTAATTGGCAATAATCAAATTCAAAGACACCTAAGCAACAGCATTCAGTATCTCAGGTGGCAGCACTTAAAAAAAAATAAAAGAAAAGAATGTTTCTGTGAGATTACACTGATGATTTTTCTCACACGAAGAGTTCTATATTTAATTAAGATTTACGTCTGCTGACAGCGGAGTGCACGTGCAAACACTGCAATGTGAAGAAGGGCTCCCTATCTGAGCTGAGCAGAAAAAACAATTTACCAACAGTTAATGCACAACATTCTTAATGGCAGTTCAAAAGATTAAGTTAGTCTTTCCATACTCTAATTAAATGTACAGAAAGCTGATCTGTTCTCTTGATTTCCTTAAACCTAGGACCTCAGGCCCTTTAGTCCAGAAGATGTGACATGGGTTTTCACTCTTCTCTTTCTCCCTCCCTCCCTCCCCCTTCCCTCCCTCCCTATCTCCCTTCCTCCTCTTTCTTCTCCTCCCATTTCTCAAGTACAAGAAAGGATTTTGAACATTTTACCATGAAGCAATAATAAATATATTTGAGGGAACAAAGTGGATTATCTTGACTTAAACATTATAAAAACTTTCCAAAATGTCATGCGTATAATTTTATGTGTCAGTTTTATAAATATATATGTATTTGTGTGCTTACAAATTTTTGAGTGCTTTTGATCTTTGATAAATTGTATGTGGGTCTCTAACTGTGGAACACATAAAAATACCTATATTCAAGTCTACTGGAGCAGGTCCATAAACCCAGTTATTCAGGAAGCTGAGGCACTGGGCAGTAGGCACTAGTTCAAAGCCCAAAAGGCATATACAGTGAATCCAAAGCCAGCCTGGACAACTTAGGGGGGCCCTTCAGAATAAAAGGTAAAGACTAGGGATACACTAGTGCAGTAGCAGAGGGATTGCTGCGAACACACAAAGCCTGTGCTCAATCTCCAGTATGGCAAATCAAATAGCCCCTGTGCTTAAATAGCTTGGTAAAGTATATCTCAGGCTGTTCTGTTTTCGCACAGCTTTCTTGATGCACATTTCATGTGCTGTACAATTATCCCACTCTGGGTATACAGCTCTGTGACTGTTTGATAAGCTTACCAAGTTGTGAGGCAATCATCTTAAATCAGTTTTGTGATACACACACCAGCAATACACCATATGTATACCCATGTCTACCTTACATAATATACTACTAACCTCTCTCATCCTGTAGATTAGCCTTCAGGATGTTGAGTATCAGTGGAATCATACTACATGCTACATGTTGCATCTGATTTCTTAGGACTAAGTATAATATTGATGACGTTCATCCATACCAATGTGAGTTTCAGTAAGTCTTCTTTTTACTTACTGTATAGTATTCTGATGTACAAATATGTTGCATTTTCTTCCTATCCATTCACCCACTGAGTGGGACTAAGGGTGCTACTATTTCAGGATATCATGACTATGCTTCTAAACATATTTGTGGGTACATGTGTTTTCACTCCTATTAGGTGGGTATCTGAGCATAGAATTACTAGATAACATTTCGATTGTATATTGAACTTTTTGAGAAAATGCTAACTTAATTTCTAAAGTGACTGTGCCATTTTGTACCTATCACCCATAGACTTGGGTTAAGTGGGATTTAGTGGTACTCAGCTGAGGATTGAACTAGTTTCCCAGTGAGTTTTGATGCTTGTGGATGAAAACCACACAATAGGAAAATATGAAGAGCCAATGTGTGCAGAAACATTATGGAGGAATGCACTGGCATGCAGAGTACTTCTCTGTGTTAGCCTGGACAGATTCTTCCTTTGGAGGCAGAAATAAACTAAAACAAAACACTAACAAGGAATTCTACCAAACAGCCACTAGGAAAGATGATGGGAAAAAGAAATCTGGAACTCATTTCAGTGATGCTAGACCATCCCTCTCAACAAAGTCTTCTAAAAATGTAAGCTTTCTAAATTGCCAAAAATCTTTGCAGAAACTCTGAGTACTGCTTTAAGACAGGGAAAAATAATTCAAAATTTCATTTGGCAGGTGGCTCTTTGGATTGCACTTCTGTAGGAGAAATGTGGTTCCTGGCAAGGGGGATGGCATACTTGCTGACTAGGTGACCTATCCTAGCAAGCTGTTACTTTAGTAACATTCTAGGACCAACTTGGGAAAGCAAGTTGTCTATGATGATTTCCTTAGCTGGCTTACCACAACAGTACATTTTTAGGAATTTGAAGCATTTTACCTCCAAGGAGAAGGACAGCAAGACATCTGACTTGGACAGCTGGTTCTCACTCTCCTCGCCCATGTCAATGATGGAAGCATTGTGACTGCGTTTGAGTTTCTGCAGCTTGAACTCTCCACCCTTGGACACCGGCATGCTCTCCAAGTTGGCCATGAGCAGGTTGACAGAGGATTTCAGTTCTTCAATGTACATGTTCTCCATTTCTTTGGATACAAACTTAGGAAATTTACGTTCCTTACAAAAGAAAGGAAAAGGGATAATCAGAAATAGAAATATTTTAGGAAAATATTCCATCTAGATGTGGAGATGCCTGTCTTTAGGTATTTATAATCTCCAACAGGTAGGAACACAGACATAAACATCTAATAAAAAAGAGGAAAATGTTTGATTACAGTTCTAACTTTTTACCCTGGTTTTCTCCAGAAAATTTGATTTGTAGGAAGAAAAATTACAATGTTTTTTCAAATCCAGTCCCAGTTCTGACAATTTTTTTCTTCTTTGTCAAAATGGCAGTCAACTTGTTTTTAAGTTCAGAAACAGAAGCACACCCTATTTCTGGAAGTCGGTAGAGTTTTTTTCACAGAAATAATTTAAAAATAGCCCATTTGAAATGTTTCAACCATAGCCTGTGACTATTTCTAAGAATACTTACTATTTTCAGGAAAAATTAAAAAAATGAAGTAAAGAAAAACATGACTACAGTTGTTCAGGAAAGTAGCAGGGCAGCTGAATGTGGAAACTGACCACTGCCGTTCTCCCTCCTGACTCACAGCTTCAGCTGGTAAGGCAAGAGACCTGACCTGCTGCTTGCTTGTCTGCTTGACCCTATAAGCTGCCGAAGTGCCTTGAATATTCAAACAGCTATTTCCAAGCTGGAACATGAAATTGTCCTGTAAACCTACTCTATAGTCTACTGATAAGGTAAGGGGCAAGCCAAATCTGTTTGGATTTCTTTTTATTTTATGAGTTACAAACAAATCTAATTTAGACTGGTCTAAACAACTCAAGGGTCTGATTGGCTTAGCGATGTCTTAGTTTTAAGATTCCGGTGTCGTAGTTAGTCTTAATTGCTAACATGGTGGGATTGATGATCCCCATGGAAACAAATCTCTGGGTACATCTTGCAGGGTGTTTCTGGATTAGGTTAATTGAAAACCCACCTATTCCATGAGTGAGTTTTTGGGACTGATTAAACAGGAAAAAGTGACTATTAACATCCACTGTTCTCTGCTTCCTGACTGGACACAAAGCAATCAGCCAGCTCACACCCCAGTTGCTAGGCCTTCCTCACCAATGGATTCCACTCTCAAAGTATGAAACAAAAGAGTCCCTTCCTTCCTTAACTTACTTCTGGTCAAATATTTGATCCTAGAAACAGGAAAATTAACTGAGAAATCAAAATTGGCTCCATGCTCAGTTCCCGAAACATTGCTGCAGATCTAGATATCATGTATCATATAACGTTATTTATGGGAAGAATAAATACATTGTCTTTATGGGAGATTAAGGACTCTTCAGGATTAAGGATTTTGTCTCAGAACTCCTACTTAAAGTCTGACTCATTGGCCTACTCTGAAGTGATGTCTATGCATACAATCCACTGTGCTGATTTACCTTGGTGTGAGTCTTATTTTCCTTCCACAGGCTGGGGCAGAGCTTGATTTAGAGCACATGGAACATGAATTTATTTGATAGTTCTGTGTGCCAAGGTATAAGATGTCTATTATACAGATGTTCAACTCAAAGTCAACTAACTAATTCTGCTGAGTGGCCAGCAATCAAGCAGATTCATTGTCTTAAGCAATTGACTTGAGAAGCATCAAGAATGCAATGGGTCATCATCGATGAAAGTGAAACAAAATGATCATTTCACTGAGTGTTGGCTGTCATACTGAATCAATTCAATGATGAGGAAGACATTCAACAAAGAAGAGAGAGGAAGGACAAGCCACAGAGAAAGGGGGATAAAGAGAAGTAGAAATAGAGGAAGGCACACAGAAAGGAGAAAGCACAAGAGAAGCAGGAGAAGCTGTTTAGAATCATGGGAATGAAATTTGACTTCTACTAGTTTTCTAATTCCCACATGGCCTCATATTGTCTCTTGAATGTCAGTTCTATGGTATTGTGATTTAAATAGAAAATGTCCTCCATAGGGTCATATGTCTGAATCCTTGATCCCCAACTGGTGTTTGGGAAGCATATGGAACCATTAAGAGGTGGAACCTTGCTTGAGGAATAGAGCACTGGAGGTTGCTTGTTCTCTGTAAATGTTTGTCACACATATTGGTTTAATAAAATGCTGATTGGCCAGTAGCCAGGTAAAAAGTATAGGTGGTGCTACCAGACCAGGAGAATTCTAGGAAGAGGAAAGGCAGAGAAGCTAGATGCAGAGGAAGCAAGCTGAGAATGCCTTACTGAGAAAAGGTACCAAGCCATACCACTAAACATAGAGAAGAATTATGGGTTAATTTAAGTTGTAAGAGTTTGTTAATGATGAGCCTGAGAAATAGGCCAAACAGTTTATAATGAATATAAAATGCTGTGTATTTATTTGGGATTGAGTGGCTGCTGGATCAGGCAGGACAGAAACTTCCATCTACATGTGGTGGGCTATGAGGTTCAATAGTCTGGCCTCACTTGCCGTTGTCTCTCAGTATCCTGAATGTAGATGCAATGTCATTAACTAGTTTCCTGATCCTGTCTGTGGCCATGTCTTCCTACCATAATGGATTCTATCCCTCTGGAACTATAAGCCAAAATAGGCCCTTTCTCCCTTGAGCTATTTTTTTTTTGTCAAGAGTATTGTTATCACAACAAAAGAAATGAAATGAATATACCTGGGAATCCCTTGTTCCTTCAATAATTCCCCTTAACCAAGAGTTGGCTAGAAGAGCATTTTATTCTTGCCAGTGTATAAATTTCACTCAAATACATGCTGATCTTCCTACAAAGCTTGACGAGTGGTGTTTTTGGGCTGTGCCAGTCTCCAGCCTATCTAGAGGGTATTTCTTTAGGGCTAGCACCCCTTTCTTTCTTGCTCCCCTGTTTACTCTCAGCGTTCTTGGTTTCTTCCACATTCAAACACAACTCTTCTCCATGTTGGACATCTGCTTTCTGGGCATCACTTTTTGAAAGGGCTAGCTGTGTGTGCAACATACATAATTACAGATAACTATGTGAAACCTAACCCTCAATGTGATGACATTTATGATGAAATATTTAGAGACTGACTATGTCTCAAGGCACAGCCCTTATGAACTTGATGATTGCCTTTAAAAGAAGCCCCAGGTAATGTATTTGCCCTTTCTTCCATGTGAGGACATGATGAAAAGATGGCTGTATAGAGACCAAGGAGGGGGCAGAGAACTTGCTGCTTTCTTGACCTTGATCTATCCATATTCTAGAACTAACAAATTTCTAGTGTTCCTTTTAGAGCACCTTGAATAATTATTGTCAACAAATCATCTATGGAATGTATTTGCTTAGTGTATGTCTTTCCTTCTGGGTTATAAATCAGGATCATACCATCTTGACATCCCACTAAAACTCTTGATATCCAGCATAATGTGTAACACTTAGTAAGCATTCAGTACACATGAACTGAGTGAGTGGGTAAATGGCTTGTCAAAAAGTCTATATGAAATATTAATGTAGCTACCACTCAACCGTGAGGGGAAATGGGGTGATCATGAATTAGGTTTTGGAAGAACATTGGGGTTGTGCTTTTCCATAGCAAATGAGTACAAGTGTCTCAAATCTACTCAACAACCTCAGTTTTGGTTCCTTTGGGAACCTCTGAATACAGCACTTCCTGCCTAAGGGTTGTACTCACACTGTGTGGTACTTTCTAAGCACATTGTGGGTGGATGTGAGAGCAGCAGGGTGGAAATGATGCAGTCATGGTATTGACAGAACTTAGTGGTGAGTCAATGTGAGAGGCTCCCCAAAGCCTAGTATCTCTAAAACTTCCATACAGCACTTAAACTTCCCCATTCTTAAACTCCATCAGGGGACAACAGGGATTGTTAAAACTGGGGCAAACTCGTACAGAGCCTTGAAGGCAGGGAGACTTGAGTGATGCGCCAGTCTGACTTAGAAAAACATAAACCAGTGAACACTGTGCGTGTCACTAGGATGATTCTGGTGGGAGGATATTACCATTTTCCCGGCGCTTCACAGTAATTAGGAAAGGATGAATACAGAAACATCCAAGTCAATATTTCAATAGATGTGCAAGAGAAGTGAATGCTTCCAGGGAGAGCTAGTGGGTCTTCACAGAGGAGGGACATTTGGCTAAGGGTCTGACCAATGAAGGAGAGTTTGCCTTGAGGTCCAGTTAGCTGAGAACAGAGAAACTGGCACTCGCTTCTTCCTATGGAAGATATAGACAACCATGACTCCAATAAGATTTAGATGACTAAACACAGTCCACACAGCATTTCCTCATTTTCCCTGCACATGTTCCTTCTGGAGGGTGAAGAGTATTGAGATAGGTTGACTCATGGTGTGAGTAGTCCCTATATCACACAAAGGCTGCCAAAGTTTACATTTCAGGAACTTAAAATACAATGTTCTGACCTATCACCTTTATCTTCATTTTAAAGTTCAAATGTTAGTATTCATAGAATATTTGAAAGGGAAGTGGAAAAATAGGATTTTTCATTTTTACTGCCAACTTCTGTTTTTGTAAGTGGACAGGGAGAGAAAGAATAACATTTATGAAATAGTTTATCTTTGGCTAGTCAGCCTTGAGAGGGTACACCGAGTCTGCCCTCCTTTGTCACATATTTCCTTGGGGTATAAGGCTCTCTCTCTCTCTCTCTCTCTCTCTCTCTCTCTCTCTGTGTGTGTATGTGTGTGTGTGTGTGTGTGTCCCCTTGCGCATGTGTGCGCCTGTGTGTATCTGTGTGTGTATATGATGTATATGCTTGCATATATGATGTCTCTGTGTGTGTTCATATGGGTGCAGGCACATATGTGTAGAGGTTTGAAGACAATCTTGGGTGCTGATCCTCACTTTCTCCCTTTTTTGAAGTAGGATCTCTTTGTTATTCACTACTGTGGATGCTGGTCTAGCTGGCCCATGAGTTTCTACAGGTTCTCCTGTCCCTGTCTCCCATCTTGTTATAGGAAGTTTGGAATAGACAGACATGCTCTACACATTTGTTTTTATGTGTGTTGTGGTCCTCAGGTCCTCATATTTATGCAAATGCTACTGAGCCATCTTCCTAGAC